GGAAGCTAGATTTAAATATTATCAATAAAACTAAAACCATTTTGAAGGCAATAAATGAGTTTGGTACAGTAGGCATTGTTTGTGCTGCAAATTGCCAAAGGACCAAATAACTTAAAGATTTTTTTTTTTTTAATTAAATACGTTTTTGTGAAAACTGGAATAGGTTATTTGAGAAGTTGTTTCAACCAAACCTTAATTACTTCTGGAAAAGAAGCTTAGATTTGGTTTTAAATGTTGATTTTTTTTTAATTTTTTTTTTTTTTTTTAATCATCTGAAAGCCTTCCGACACTATTAAATGTTCTATGAAAGAAAGCAGATGTACTTTTAAGTTTTGTTTTCTTTTAGGTGAAATAAAAATGAATTTCTCATACTTTTATAATACTAAACCAGCTAACAAGGTGAAGTCAGGGTGAAAAATGTACAGTGTAATAAACAAGGGAAGGGGTGGGAGATGTGGGAGGGAAGGAGTAATTGTTGCACAGTTTTAGATTTTTTTTTAACTCTTGGGTTTTGGATTAAGGTTTTTTTTTTTTAATTTAAAAAGTACACTAGTAACTTCAAAACTATGAAACTACATAAAAAATTGAAATGTCTTGATAACCCTTTTGTGATTGAGAGTTCTTTTCGATAATTTGTCACTTCCTTACATCATAAATTTGTATGTAAGATTAAACTTGTATATCCCTATCACTTATTTTCAAATCCTGGAGTTACAAGGGGGGGAGGTGAATTTAAAAGTATATTTCCCTATTAGAGAAAAAAGTACAGTGTCTGGTCTGTGGGAAGAGCTGTGTATCTTTGTTGTGCTCCATTTAGAAAATAAACAGCAGAAACAGGTCCCTGTAATGTAGTTCAGACTTGCCCAATTTATTTTTTTTAATTTATGACAGACTACTGTGGGGTTTTTTTAATTGCCTGAAGAATGAAAAACTGACATTAAGCTGAAGTTTTGTCTGTTAAATATGAATATTTACTTTATTTGGCTCTGCTTTAACTATAGCTGTTACTTTTCAAGTGAATTTGTTTATGTACATGCAAGGAATCCTTGCATGTCCTGGTAAAGTACAAATAAATTACTACAAACTGATTCCAATTTCCTTTTTATCCTTTTTGTATTGTGAAACTGGAAATCTTTATGATATTGTAAATTATCAGCTGGTTTTCTGAACATAGTGTGGAAACACAGGACAATATTTTGATCTATTTGATAATTTTGTGGGGTTTTTGAAGAATTAATGAGCATGTACATAGAAATAGTGACTGCTTGAATACTGTATTTACCTGCACTCTTTCAGTACTTCAAGATTCCTGTATATTTTACGGAGTATAATAAAACCCAAATGTGAGTTCTACTAATGAATAATGTATTTGTATCTACTAAGCATTAATGACAAAGTTTCCTTTGTTGAACTGTTAGAATTTATAAAATCTATTTCACAAAGTCTTTGCCAGCATTTTAATTCTAAAGTGATGGTGAGTTATTTAAAGTAATTTTAAATGTTATATTACTTCATTATTCCTTTAGGTTTTCTTTTAAGTATTACTTAACCATTTGTGCCCATGTTCATTATTTATATATGCAATATGTTTGTGAGCAGAATTAGATGACTTCAGGGAGTTCGTGATTTCTGTATTTTCTTCCCTCCGAATCTTGCAAGTATGGGGCCATGTGGGAGTGATGCACGTGCCTCATCTGAGCCTGCAGGCAGTGCTTGAAAGATCCATAATGGCCTGTCCTGAGATTCACTGCATCTATTTAACTGCAAAGGTTGAAGCAGCACAGACCCATTTTTCCTCATACACTTGTGGAAGATCTGAATCAGAATGCCAAGTAGCATGCCTGTTACTTAAAAGGTAACAATTGCATATTTCTGTTAATGAAACCATCCAATTTTTGTTGCTTCAGAGGAGCTGTGAGATATTAACAGATTTTTCTTCTCTGTGCTAACTAATATTTGACTTCAAGATGACCCATTACCTCAGTGTGTGGTGTCTGTAGCCATGGGACAGTTTATATGAGGGGACACTCCTATCTTATTTGAAAAATTAGCAGGGCGGTAGAGGCAGCTCTTCATGTTCACTGTGTGCCTGGATGATGGAGGAGAAAAAGCTCAAAAGATGCTGGTTTAAGTTAAAGATTTGGATATGGAATACAAGCAAATGCAGAAAACAGTGCTGTTGAATGCCATAGTTTCCTTATGTCAATTGTTAATTGTGCCTCTTCGATTTCATTACTAACCACTTGAGGAAGAAAACTTTTTCACTGTGTTAAATTGCATTATTTTTAAGTTTTGTGAACTTTTTAGAGCTAAAGATCTGTCCTTTATTACAAATTTAAATTCCATTTAGGAATTCAGAGTTACATGATTTGTCTATCTCATAATTAGAATTTATTCATTACAATCTGTATGTATTTGTATTAAGAATATGGTCTTACTCCAAAAATGGAATGTAATTTGTTTAAAGAACATGCTACTATGATCAGAGACCACTTTCTTAATTGAGAGGTCAAGGAACAGCAGGTTCCTTGTTTCTATAAAACAAATAATGCAGTCTAGCTGGGGGGCACTCTTTTTTAAAGAAAAAAGTTCATACCTTAGTGGAGGCCTGTTTATTTCCAGAAAATGATACTGGAACCTCTTGGATTTTCACCAAGAGAGAGCAGTGAGCCTTGGCTGGACCACTGAAGCAGTAGCTTAGAATAAAAGAAACGCTTTTCATCCTGAAAAAAAAAAAATTGAATGGACTTCAGGAATGAGGACAACCAGCTCTGTTCAGCTTTCTGTGTACTCTGACTTCTGGGATGTTTTCAAAGAGTTTTTCAGTTCTCAGGATAAATGTTCTGCGGGAGAAAATGCCAAGTGAGTTAGTATTAACCTCCTCTGCTGGGCTGTTACTTTTAGTGTAGTGTAATAGCATAAATGCTGTATGCTGTTAGAATGATGAATCAGTCTGACATCTTCCCAGCCCCTCCCAGACCCAGAGTGTCCCTACTGTAATCAGAAAGATTTTTTAATCATATAAATATATTTGGAACAATCAGAGCTAGAAATATGCATTTTAAACTAGGATCTTGGTTGTGGTTCTGTTTTTTTTCTGGTTGTATATCTTACTGTTTAAAATTCTGTCTTGTCTACCAGGCTAAAGAATTAATAAATGTTTGGTTTTAAAAAAGTAAATATTTAAAAATTAATTACGTCAATGTTTTGCTCCTTTTAATATCTACACAAAGGGCAGTAAAGATCCCAAAGCTGTTACCTGAACTGTACGGAAGATGACTGAAAAGGAGCATGAGATAATGTTTACAGATTCAACCCAGTAGTTCTGGTTTTGAGAGGAATTAGCCTTCCTGTCTTGCCCAGAGATTATGTCCATTTAAAGGCAACAACTACTGTAGTAATCCAGAATAACAAACTCTTATTTATATGTCATTGGTTGCTTCTTTATTGTGGGGAAAAAAAAAATGTGGTGACGTTTGTTAATCATGTAATGACTGAGAGAGAAGATAAGCCTGCAGAAAGAGTGTAAACAACGGGTACTGTACAAAGGACTGTTGTCTGGCACATACTTGGGAAGATTTTTCTCGTGTGCATAAAAATGTGGAACATTAGATGTGTCCGGAGAGCCCATACTACTTGATCCGTGTTTGGATCAGTGAGGTTCATGTCTTAAAAACCTGAAACCTAAGCAAAAAGGGTTAGTGTTTACAGATACATTAATTCTGGAGAACTGGAGGACGTGCTCTTTGGGTCAGTGTACCACGGGGCAGGTGAGGGAGCCCCCCCAGCGGCAGCTGTGAGAGCAGCAGGAGGAGCTGGCAGGAGTTACCCTCCTCATCTCCTCCTGCTTTGTCTGCTCTGTCACTGCTGATGGTACACAGCCACTTCATCGTGCTTTTGGTTAAAAAGCATTGGTTCCTTGTAACAGTAATTCCTGATAATCCAGTCCTGGTTGCAATCAGACTAATAACCTTGGGGAGCAGGGCCTTTGATAAACCTCTTAAGTAGTTTAAACCTTAAACACCACTTCCATAGGTCTGGATTTAAACTCAGCAAAATTCATTTTAATAGCAGAAAAGAGTAAACATTTAAATTCTTGAAGTTGGTCCAGCAAATTCATATAAGTCCTTAAATCCAAGACTGACTGCTAATTATTGCCTCCTGTAGTAATCTCTCAATGATTTGTGATGACTTCCTTATAATCCTTTAATATGCTGCAGAAACTGATGGGACAGTTGGAAAATAATTCTTTCAGATTAGGATTAAAATTTTTATAAATTTGTTGCTGGAATTCTGAATTGGACAAGATAAGAATTTATAAAACATCTGTCTCCTTTACAGACTGAAACCTGAAATGTTAAATGTGAATACAAAATACAGGCTGCTCTGTTAGCTGGTAGCATTGATTTTTTTTTTTTTTTTTTTTTTTTTTTTTTTTTTTTTTTTTCTGGACTCCTTTTCTCACTGTAATAGCTGTACATTTTGAAGAACAGTATGTGCAAAGTAACCACCACGCATTAATTTAAAATGGCAAAACAACTAGTTATTCTTAAGAAAATATATTTATTCATCATCTATAAGCCTTATTACAAAAATCCCTTCGTTTTACTGCTTAATGAGACGCAAATCCCTGGCTGGATGTTGTAAATGTCACCCATGTCCCTAGTCTGATCCATGTATCTTTCTCCTACTTACCAAGAGAAAAACTGAAACAGGAGCCGTGGAAAGAGTGTTTCACTGTCCATTGTTCCATCATCTAGGGTCCAGGAAAATCACAAGAGTTTTGGTTTCCTTTCCCTGGGAGTTACAGATGTGACAAATTTTCAGGCTGTAGGCTTGTTCCTGTCTGTGCAACTCACCTCGCAACTTGAACGTTCCTGACAGGAAGATGAGGAGTATCCCTACTTGTGGGACTTGAAGATTTCTTGCAACTCTTTCCAGCCCGGTATCCCAGCCTCTTTAGCACTGTTATTTGTCTTCAAATAAAGCAATATCTAAATTATCCATGCTTTCCTGGTCCAGTGTGTTATTTTACATTAGGAGACACTGAGCTCTCTCTATTCCATGCTCTGTTTCAGCATTTCTGAATCTGAGGTTGGGTAAGGAATCTTTCAGTATTTCAGCATGTAACTGTAAACGTAGTTGAGTAATACGGAACTTAAAGAACCTTTCAAGCTGTCTTAATGTTGTTGGTGTCACTAAATATTTACAGAGGAGAAAAGCACCTTACATTCTCTTTTTTTGTCAAAATTTCAATAGAAGCAACCAGAAATTTTGCTATTCAGATTCACAACAGAACAAAACAAAGCCTGCTTCCAAGCCTTGTCAAATGACAGACGTGCGGGTTTTCTTCTCATTGTACCTGGGGGTTTGACTTGGCTCAGAAAGCTTAAGACACTGAGGTGTTGGATGTCCTTTTATGTTAAAAGTACAGATTAGATACCTTAAATAGTTTAAAAGTAAAATCTATGGATTCACATCCTATCCTGTCATGTATTTCCTATCCCTTGACAACTTTGTTGTTCAAGCTGTCTGCATAGTTTTTCTTAAAATTCTTTCTTAGAATCTGTTAACATCTTACTGAATTCGATCTTTTTTAATGTCTTCTGCCAAGAGTGTGTTTGATCTGCTGTGGTTACTGGTACTGTCGTGACTTCTGACCCATCCTGCCTACATCTGCTCTCCCAGGGGAGGGAGGATGGAGAGCACAGTGAATCGAAGTACTTCCATTGCTGTGACCATTACAAACTTGATGGAGCAATACTTCCCACTTCCACCTGGGAATATTTTGGGTTTTCAGGAATGGCGTTTGTCACCACTTTTGGGGTTTTCTTAACTTGCATAAATAGAGGAGGAAGGGATAGTTCTACCTAGTCACTGAATCTGCGTGTGTGCCATAGTGGTGGTTAGGTGTTGTTTGGCTCCTCTTTCCGTAAAAGTTCTGGAAATCTAATTTTCTTCAGTTGGCACTTCAGATGGTATGTCTGAAGCAGCCAAAGAGGGTGGTCAGGTTTTTGCATTGTTCTTGGGTTTTATGTGATGCTGGGCTGTTTGTTAAATGCCTCATGTTGCAAGACTGGCCCCAGCCTGGGCAAGACCATGCTGTGCCTCATGTCGATGGCTTCCTTGCAGCCATGTGGACTGCAGGAGGCCCTTGAAGCTCCATCGCTTCAGTCTGGTTCCTTTCACTTGTAGAGATCTGCCTAAATGAGCTTACCCCCACTTGTGCATTGTGAAGATCTCTGGTCTGAACAGATTGTCCCAGTCTGTCCCGAGCTCCTCAGCCTATTCACATGCCTCTCAATAACTTCAGTCCAACGTCCTGTTTGCCTAGTGCTCCTCTGATGTGCTTTCTAGTGGTTTTTCTAACTGTAATCGAGTATCCCCACATCTACCTGGAAAACTCACTGGTCATGTGAGGCCTAAAGCAGCAGATCCCTTATGAAGAAACCTTTAACACCTCTGACCCATGTGCTGTTACCCCTGTCTGGACAGACAGTTCCTGTGGTTGTCTTCCCCTTCCCAGGGGCAGTGTCATCGCCCTTTAAAGACATCATCCCCTGTCTCAGTGGTGTTGGTACAAATTTCCACATCTCAAGTCAAATTAACCTTAAAATTGGGTGATTTAGTGCCAGTTTAGCCTTTAGCTGTACTTCCTGTATGTCAAAAGATCCTTGTGTTCTGGTTTGGTTTTGTTGCACTCGGAGATAGAAACAGTTCAGGAAGCTTTAAGAAAAGTGCCTATACCCACTGAAGAGGTAATAGATGATGGGCTGTGTTACAGTGTGTGAACATCGGCCTTGCTAGTGGGTTCTCACACCCCCTCAGTAAGTGATATGTGGCACCCTCAGGTGAATGCCAGGTTGTTTAGGTCGCACTGCATTCAGCCGGGACTGCTCTTCCAGCCCAACTTCCAAAAAAACATTGATGGGTGGTGGCAGGTGTTGTAGGTTCCTGCCTGGTCACCCCGCTTCAGAGGCACACATCTATTGTCACTCAAAGATCGGAATGGGGGGAGTGGGGGCAAGCTATTTACTGGTAATTATCCATTGTGTCTAGTACTGTCCCACCTTTTCCAGTGTCTCTTTGCTAAAGGCTGCTTTTTTGGGTACAAAGTATGGGTATTAGGAACAAGGTATGGGGACACACTCTAATACCTGCTCTTCTCAGGGAGGAGACAGAGCAACATGCTCCATGCAAACAGTAAGGCCAGCAGGTCTTGTTTTCTCATTGTTATGACAAGCCCAAAGTGTGGAATAGCTCTGTGGAATACACTTTGCAAGTATGTCTCAGATAAATACCCCTTTTTTTTTTTTTTTTTTCCCCTTAATATAGCAAATACATGTAATGCTATTAACTGGTTTAGCCTAATTTGTTGTGATAACAATGGTGTGCTTTGGAACTAAATCTGAATCAGTACTTAGTGCAAGAGGATGTGTGTTTTTCAGCCTACAAAGTGGAGTGAGGAGGCTTGTCGGGAGCACTGAAATTCTCCAGCTGTTCATTGTTCCTTTCGTTTAGACTTGGTCATATGGTACTAGAACCAGAAGCACAAATAAGCACCACAACTGCTCTTCTGTTCTGCCCTGTATGGTCTGGAATTTGTGCAGCATTCAGCAAGAACACCACTATGGGTGCTAAAGAACTAACAATTTTTAATAACCCTGCAGTGGCACAGCCTACTTCTACCTCCACAAGTTTCTGTCTAATGAGATACAAACATTCCCCCTCTACATATTTCTGTCCACTATATGCTGCAGGATAAACAAACCTGTTGTGTTGCTGTATCAAAGCTGAGTGTGATTAGGTGATATAGCTTGGAGAAGGAAGGTTTGATAGAGCCCAAGATCATCAATATTTATATACAAATTTTGTGTAAATATATAAATAATCTTGAGGCAGAAATTCAACAATTTCTTGGTTGTTGACACAGGAGCTTACTGAGCACACACCTTGCAGCTGCTGTAGTGGTTTGAGTTTGAACACATCTCAGAACTGATGCAGACACCAAAATGGACTCGCAGCTCTCCCGTTAGCACTCTGCTCCCCTTGGCCTGACAAATAGCCTGAGCAACTGGAACGTGAGGACTCACCAAGAGAATGGTTGTTTATTCTGTTACTCAACAGCTATGATGCAGATGAAGTCAGAATGGCCAGTAAGACCACAGAAAATTATAATGCTTGAGAATAAACTATCTTCTCTGAATTTAACCCCAAATTATTAGCTTTTGAATAGTCTCTTCCCAACTTCTTTGCTGCACTAACACAGTTTGTCAGCGCAGTACAATAGTTATAGCACTTAATCTAGTTACTGCCCTGGAAAGAATGGTGTGTTTTACTCATTTAGCAGCAGGAACCTTCCATCTAGCACACAAAGTATTTCTGTAAAAACCTTGCTGTCCCACAGTTCATTATGTGTTTCTTATAGCTCCTGTTGAATGAATTTATGAACAATGTGTAGGATGTCTTGAAGTCCAAACAGTCTTGAAATGACCCCTCTTTTAAACAGGGAAAGCTAAAGTACTTAAACAGGATGTAACAGTTGTTGATACCCACTGCCAACGTTTTTTTTAAACACAATTCCTTGCACAGGCTGGAAGTTGTGTCTTAATGCAGTCTAGTTTTTCACAATCATTGATATCGTCTTCCCCAGACTAGCTGTCCCACAGATGTTCACAACTGTAACATTCAGTTACTGTTAAAAGTACACGAGAACTCACTGAGTTTTCTAACAGGATTACGGACAATGGAGTGGCCAGTAAATGGTAATTATTTCAGCTGGGAGTTTTTCACTCTAAGAAAAAAAAAAGTCATAGAACCCTAACCAGAAATCAGAACCTCACCCTGTACAAGCTACATGTACATATATAGTTTCATGTATGCCATGCACAGTATTTCTGTCTTCATTCCCTTTCCTATTTTCCTTCCTTTTGCCATGGTTTTCCATTCCATTCATTTCCATACTCCTAGCCAGGACCTGAGAAAACTGAAGGATTACATTAAAAGGAGTAAATTCAGTTGAAAAGAGAAATGTTATTTTCCCAATATAAACCATCACATTACAACAAGGCTTTATCTTTGCAAGGCAGTTCTTTTACTTCTGGTAGGACATAAGCTACCAAGGTACATACAGCCTCTCAGGTTAAGTGCTTCGCTTATCATTTCAAACATGGAATCTAATCAGTCAGTCATGTAACAAACACACCTGAAGCTCTATGAAGTACAGATGTTCAACAACTTACGTTAAGATGTGTACTCTGAACATATGGGCAGTTGTTTTCTGATTCATTCAAGTATCTGTGCTAGTCCTTTTCATACCATCGTCCGTACAGAGCAGCTGTCAGTAGGCCAGATGATGTTCTATTTTTGCTTATGAAATAATGGTTGTTTTTCCAGCCCATGTGATCAGCAAAGTCCAAGGTAACACCAGATGTCAGCAGTAAGGGAAAGATATAAGGGGTGCTCATATTTCCCCATAGCTGGAAATCTATCAGAGCAGTGGCATCTGTAACCTCCTGCCCACAAGTGCTAAAGCTGAGCCCGCCACACTTTACTAATGTGCAGGCCTGGACATAGTATGTGCCGTGCACTGTATGGAGCCCATCAAACACTCCCAAAGCATAGAACTCATCAGTGGAAACAGCTCTCTGATAATTTAAGTAACAACATAGGGTATTGGCACAAACCTGGAGCTCTCCTTTTTCCTCCCATACAGGAACAAAAGTAAAGTTGTCATACATCATTTCTGCATAAAATATGGGAGGTAACTGTTTGTTTCCTTTTTCTGACACTCTGCCAGGGCTCTCTTCTCCCTCCTTAAAGCAAACCTGATCAGCTGGTGAGGTGCTTGTAAAAGTCTGGCATGACTGATGTAAGTCCTCTCTGAATCTTTCATTACTCTCCGAATGGGTTTCATAGTCTGTGGTCACAGGTATTTCTGCTACTATGAGCTTGCCACCATAACTTTCCATGTTGTGGTAGATGAATGATTTGACTGGAGTGTATATGCCACTCCCTGTCATGCCCAAGGTAGGGTGGTGGATATTGGCTGCTAAAATATTGACGTTGAAAGCTGTTGCAAAAGCCTGTTGAAATTCTACAGCAGACAGGAGTGGGAGCTGGTTCATCCAGGCAGTAGGATATACAACTTGTTTCACTTTGTATTGTCGGATGAGGTTCACTGCAGGCTCAAAAAAGAGTATATCAAAGCAAGTGAACATACCAAACTTGCCAGCAAAAGGGGTATCAAAGAGTGTATAGTCAGGCTCTGGAGGGGTATCAAAAGCGTATTCAAAATACAGATTGTGTTTGCGATACGTGGCTACCAGCACACCGTCATCACTGAACGCCACGTTGGTATTGAACTGGTATCTGCCATCAGATGGACAGTGAGGATCAGTGTGCTCACAGGGTTGCTTAGTTCCTAAGTTTGCCACAAGGAATATTTTGTTCTTCAGTGCCATGCAGCTCAGACGCTGAAGAACCTGGAGAACAGTATGGGAAAATGTAAGCACTTCAGAATATGGAGGAGTAAGCTTTACTTAAGCAGCTATGACTTATTTAATACTTTTCAAATTATTATTTTCAACTGGAAATTGAACGCATTTGACCATATCTGTAACAATTAGAATTACTGATGATTTTGCAACAAAATCTACTGGAACCAGTAGCTTTCTCAACCGAGAAGTATTTCAGATATTTATTATTTTCAAAGTACCACTGAAAACAATTATCTGGGCTTTATTTCCTCAGAAGTAAGTAAGTAAATACACCTCTATTTCAAGGGCATTAATCTTCAGAAACTTCTAACTGTTGCAGGAGCACCAATGGCTTTAAAACACCATAGGTCAAATGAAAGCTTTGACAAGGCAGCGTAACTGATCTGTGTGTGCCTTTCCAACAGCAAACATCTAATGATGACCATTCGCACCTGCAATGGCTTGTTCCTGCAACTAGATGTTTTAAAAAGTGATTACTAGCTACAACTTAAGGAAGCAGAGGTGTAAATGGACATACTTTGCATAGCTATAGAGCAGAAATACAAAAAGTTACAGACTTCAGTATGACTGGGATGTTTCTTCCACGCCACAGAGAGCTGTACCAAAGACTGCCAGTAGTGCAATCTCCAAACAGGATCTCAATGGCAAACCAAGTTCCTGCTTGCTTGCCCATGATCATTGGTAGCTGAGCTTCTCAGGCCAAAGTAGGTCACCATTTACAACTATGATTCCCGTTTGCACACAAATTCTGCTTAGTAGGCTCATGCACAATTACTTTCATTATACTGACTACTGTAACATTAATAAGAATAGCTTTTATTACTAAGCATGGTTACTTTCACTTTGGGTTCAGAAGAATCGATGAAAATACTGGTTTTGTATGCAGGTCGTATCTTCTGTAATCACACTTGGTCCGTGCTAAGTTGGAAATTTATTACATTATAGCAGGTCAAGTCCTGTTACTTGGGCTAATAATTTCACACACAATCACCCAGTTGGAATGTTCTGATGTCATTAAGTCATTAAAACTGAGTAACAAAACTGCATCAAAAGAGAAGATACTGCTATGTTGCTTTATATATACCAACGTTGTTTACCATTTTGTAGGTTAGGGAGAAGGAGAGACAAATGCAAATGGCTCATAAGCAAACTAATCTTGCATGTCTTTATCTAAAACCCTCCTCTGCTAAGAATGAAACCAGCATAAGCTGAGACCCCATGAAAACAGAATATGGTACTACAAGTTGTTAAACTTCGTGCTCTCTTTCCTAGGCAAAACTAATAGAGCTATCTTCCCACTTGGAGCACAAATCTAGCATTCAGGTTATTTCACCTCTCCACAGAAATCACTCCTACATTTACCTCTGTGTCATTGAACAAATATGGCTCTCTGCATGGATTCCACTTCACGAAGTGTGAATGCAGAACGAAATCTAAGTAAGGATAAATGGAGCTTCTGGTGAAGTTGAAGCCATGGATTCCATCTTCAGGAAAAACAATGATCTGTGCCCCCTGTATGTAAAACAAAGATGTATTTGGTAGGCAAAGCAAAACCAACCTAAATGTGAAAGTAAAATAGGGTATCTCATGGGTAAAAGGAGCTAAAGAAAGTTAAGGATAACCCAAGTATGTTTTGACAAGAGTGTAGTTTGAAAATACCTTTTGTTTGATAGTAAGTGTAACTATGTGTATAAAAAGAGCTTATTTAACCTGATGCATACCTTTAGCTTGAAAAATATAATCTATCTGACATTATTTTAAGGACATGTAAATACGTGCAGACTTCATCCAAATTCTTACCGAAAGTATTCTCCATTCATGTGAATCATGAGAATGACATCACTCCAGTTAAAGACTGATGATGTTACAATTTGTCTTAATTGTTTTTCAGAATTATGCTATTTGCAGATTAACTTTGTCAAAGATGCTGTACCTGCGTCAAAGGTTCTGTAATTGTGTCAGTCAGGGCTGTATACCATGATTAGGTATATAGGCTTGGATAGGGTACTGGGAGTACTGTTCTCAGAAACAGCTTGACTGTGGAAGCAGTGCAGATTCTGGTAGAAATGTAGCCATGCCAAAGCCTGACTGGCTCTACCTGAAGTTCCAATTAAATGTAGTGGATTCCTCTTAAATCAGACACAGCATCACTCAAATTCTTGCATCTGTTCAAAAGTCAGTTCAAACGTGTTATCTGTGCTATGACTTTGGGATATTTATGTGTCTTGGATGAAGTACTGTATAAGAATAGCTACTATGCTCCTGAACTGTGTTGCCCAGTCATCAAGAAAAAAAAAAACCAACCAAACAAACACTTTTTCAAATGATATAAAAATTTTAATTATTCAGTTCCAAAACAATAGATTTGTGAATCTTGCAAGTCAATTCTTCTCTGCATAGGGACAGTAATGTCTACTTCCTCTGACTAGCACCAGCTTTGAGTTTTCTTGGGGAAGGAAGGAAAGGAGTCTGTGTGTAAGAACAGCCAGAAATACTAGTCTCTCTTCTCTAAATATATTTAGACTGAGAACCATTCCATGGAGGGAAGGAGAAAAGAATGGAAAACTTTACTTCCAGAGAGTTGTTCATGGTGGAACATTCATTTCCAAAGTATTTAATTTCCTTAGTTTTTAGAAACATTCAGGAATTTCCACTATGAGCACTGGAATAAAATCAAACCCAAAGACAGCTGTCTGTAAGACAATCTTTCAATAAAAACATTCCATTTCAGAAAACAGAAAGGAGCTAGACCAAAGGATTCAGACCAAAATAGAAAATTAATTTCCCTATACTAAATAACTATAGGCGTGTTTTTCCAAGCTTGGAATAACTCAAGTCAGGCGAGCTGCTAATTGGCCTGATTTTTTTCAGGGCTGCTGGCAGGTCAGAATGTCTGAAAAACCAGACCATGGTTCTGTATATAAATATGGCTTTAGTTGCCTGGGAACACAAATGTGAAATATTATCTTCAAATAGCACTTACTCTATATATATACATAGGACGCATGCAACTGCCACCAAGCTGCGGCATACCTGTCTTGCAGCAGCCACTACTTGCTGCTCATAGATGTCCAGGTTTCTGCCCATGAGTTCCAGAGCAGACTGTCGATCAACCAGGGCTGTCGGGTTAGGACTCAGCATGGACTCATGTTCATACACTGCAGCGATGTAATGCCCCTCCTTCTTAACCCTTCCTGAGACCACTTGATAGCAAAAAAAGCAGACGGACAGCTTCCAGCACAGATCCGCCATGGTGTATGCCATAAACCTAGAGCAAAGAAAACAGGTGGGGTGGGGGGAGCCTGAGCAACAAATCATGCCAGGAATTTAAATTTATGATTAAATATGGACTGTAACTGAGACTCTTAGCAGTGATTGAACAGAGTGTTATTTTTAAATTCCCGAACAATCACATGCATATTGTTTCTAAACCTTAAATCTAACTATGTTGGTGCTTTAAGTAACAGTGTCCTGTTTAAAAGCATTTTAGCTTCCTACAAAGTTCTACTGATCTCTTTGGTTGGACTCCCTTTACAACTAACTTTGGCATTTATTTATAGATTATTGTACCATATACCAAAACATCTTTGGGAAAAGTTAAAAGCAGCTCATTAATTTGCAGTTTCTCCCCCATTTGGTGATGGGAGATGTATTTAAAAGTAGCATTTCCTCAAATTACTTGGACACTATATTTAGTAGTCAAGTAGAAAAAGATCTTTATCAATATAGAAACAGACAGTTGCCACAGGAATTACACTAGACACTACTTCTGCATTTATCTATCATGACAATGCCTCCCCTGAAGGATTACAGATTCACTCTATTTTGACTCCATAAAAGTAATTTAATAGACTAATTTGTTTCATATGGTGCAGCTTTTTTCAGTATTTATAAAAATGTCAAGCAGAATTCAGATCTGCATTCCTTCTATACAGTGCAGATAGGTAAGGTTAAAAACACTTTCATAGTAATAACAATAAAGCAAAAATCCATATAAAATGCAGAAAATTTGCATTACTGAGCTTCTCTTAGAAAGAAATGAAGAATTAGTGAGTCTGGAAGGCAGGGGCACACTCCCCAGTATGGGTTCCCCATGTATCCTTTTGACTTCCCAAGTTGCGAAAATATTTATGCAGAACAAAGACTGACTGACACAGTCAATGGCTGTGCAATGCTTAAGAAATACTATAGAAATGCCATGTTATTTAGAATTATTCTCACAATTTCAGAATTCTGTACTTGTCACCTGTACTAGCATCATTAAGGAATTAAATCTTGAATATCAGTGAAGTTGAAAGAGCATACAAGAGAGACGCACTGATGCCACATACAGATAGCCCAGTCTTCAAGTTCAGTTACTGATTTCTTAATTGTATTTGCTCTTTGGTAACTCTTATCCAAGAAAAAAAAAACAAAACAAAAAAAAAACGTTCCAAAACTCTCAGCACTTTTCAGTCTTTGTGATCCACAAAGAATTTTTGTGAATTTTTCCAAAGCAAATACAGCCTGAAGGACACATGTACAAAGAGCCTTCTCTAGTCCCCATTAGGAGTTCAGCAGGAAAAAAAAAAAAGATCAATTTTAAACTAATCCCATTTTATTTTTTTTCATCTTATATTAAATGTAGTCTTGTACCTAAAGAAGAAAGTCTATGGCAAGTTAACTTAAAATATCTCTCTTCTTAAATTCCAGAATGAAAAGCAACTAATATGCAACACTCAACGCTGCTTTTTTTTTTTTTTTGGTCTAAACACCAACTGGTTTAGTGTCGAACAATGAGCCAATCAAAGGGTGAGGAAAAGCTACTCAGAAAGCATTTAGTAAGTAATATCTTAGTTTAAGCCACTGGTTTGCTTCCATGAGCTCTACGTGCTATTTGCAACACTGGTTTGACAGCAACACAGTGCTATGTAGGACAGGAAAATCATAACCTTACTGCCCATGGCAGGCAGGAGGATCGGTTTGCTCAACCAAGAAGCTTTAACATGTAATAACTCTTTTAAGGGCCCAGGAGTAACTCAGCTGCTAAGCTCAACTACATATTTTCTTGAGCTTTAATTTGTCAATGTGTCCATATATACATACCTTCAAGGGCAGATTTAAATTACCTGAAGAACAATACAAACAGAATAAACCCTTCAAATATCTGTAAACAGTTGCATCAAAGATACTACATTTATATAAGCGGTTTTGAGAAGTGATGTACAATAAACTACCCTTGCTATTCTGCATCTTTAGGAAAACATTAGGTATTGGGGGGG